CTTGAAATCACAACATCTGTTTTTAGTTACTGTTGTTATTATTTACCCTGAAAAACCTGTAATCCATAGTTTACCTGACTGAATCATTAAGTTGGTTGAAAACTACCACATCTCACCTCCCAGTGTTCAGCTTAATAGACGCAAACTTGAATTTTACCTTTCCTAAACTTGGTCCCATATTAGATGTACTTAATAGAATTGCTGTCTGACAAGGAAACTTTTTTAGATTATTCTACAGATCATTTCTCTTTACAGGCAGAGCCGTTTATTTTATGCAACTTGTAATTACTATGCAAGCGATTATGAATTACCATGAAGCACTTCAAGAGAAAGCAGGCAGCCTAACGACTGTTCTCAGGCTGAGACCTCACCAGAGAGGCACCTTGTCTATTACTCCTAGATCCATGATGCTTATTAATTATACAGAGTAATCATAGTGTGGGTTTTACAAAGTCATATTTTTAGGATTAGTTAACTATATCGAATTCCAACCCACAAAACAACTTCTCAGCACATCTCATGTCAAGGTCACAGATTGTGGTCCCAGCCCCTACTCGTCTATCCCACTTTCTCTACAATGCGCTGAAAAGGGAAAGGTCATTAAAAATATTGGGGTTAGCCGGGCTCAGTGGCTCAGCCTGGAATCCTGCGCCTTTGGGAGGCCGAGGTGAGTGGATTGCCTGAGCCCATGGGTTCGAGACCTGCTTGGGCAACTTGGGGAGACCTCATCTCTACAATAATTCAAAAAATGAGCCGCGCATGGTAGCGCGCGCTTGTAGTTCCAGCTACTTGGAAGGCTGAGGCGGAAGGATCCCAGCGATCCTTCCGCTTCAGCCCAGCAGGTCGAGGCTGCGGTGGCCGGGAGCGGCCACTGCACTCCAGTCTGGGCGACAGAGTGAGACTCCAAATCAAAAAAATATATATATATTGGGGTTTATTTTTTCCTATTTCCCTTTTGACCTGCTAAGCCAATTTTGTGCCAATAACCACCCTTTTTAACCATCATTCACCATGTTAAAATGGCAGTGTGAATAAAAAATATGACAGTTAGAAAAGTGGTATTTTAGCGGCTTAAACAGACTTTTTCTCTTGCTTCCTTTTTTCTAAGGGTTTTTTCTAAACATAGGCTAAAAATGACCTAGGATATTAATAACTACAAATACATATATACTTTCATTGATTTTAGGTAATCAATTTCATGTTTTTATAGCTGAATTTAAGGAAACAGATGTTCTTGGTAAAATTGATGATTTCCATGTTGTTTCACACTATTGCTTTTAAAAATGTAACTATAGCTTTTTGGTTTTACTTTTACCATGATTGAAAATAATAGTAAGAATGGCTGGTTCAGGAATTTATCTTTTCTTTCTCTATCCTAAATGGACAAGAGGTTATTTGGAAGTTTTACTGAAGATTTCTTTTCTAATTTGGAGCTGAAAAAAATAGGATTTTGTCTCGGACTCTGTCTTTCAAACCTCCTCCACTTTAATGCACATACAGGCAGTAAAGTTAGAAAGATAGTTATTAGTAACTTAAATAAACAGATTTCTCTCTTCATATTTCTTGTATACAGATATCATCCAAATACTCATGATGTCATAACTTAGGTAATTGTAGTCAAACCAGAAGTAAAACCCAGGGCTTCTAACTCTTCTTTGAACAGTTGCCAACTGATACCGACATAAACAGCTAAGTGAATTCTGGGTCTTAAACTTGGATAGTCAATGAAGAAGACATATCAGATTTACTGAAACATACTTCTGTGTTAAAGAAATCTCATGTTTGCTTTATTTTCTTGGGGGTTCTGTTCTTTTTTCTTTTTTGTTTTGTTGAGTTGGGGTCTCACTCTGTCACCCAGGCTGGAGTGAAGTGGCTCAATCCCAGCTCATCGCAACCTTGACCTCCTGGTTGCAAGCAGACCTCCCACCTCAGCCTTCCCATTAGCTAGGAATACAGGCACGTGCCACCAAGCCTGGCTAATTTTGTTTTTTGATTTTTTGTAAAGATGAGTTCTCACTACTTTGCTTAGACTGGTCTTGAACTCCTGGAATCAGGAGATTCTCCTGCCTCTGCCTCCCAAAGTGCTGGGATTACAGGCATGAGCCATCGTGCCTAGCCTCTTGAGGGTTCTTTCAAAGTATAGCCATTAAGTTGTGAATTTTTCTTTCTTTTTTTTTTTTTTGAGTTGGAGTCTCACTAAGTCGCCCAGACTGGAGTGCCGCGGCCACTCCCAGCCACCGCAGCCTGGACCTGCTGGGCTCTGGCGATCCTTCCACCTCAGCCCTCCAAGTAGCTGGAACTACAGGCGCATGCTACCACACCCGGCTAAGTTTTGATTTATTGTAGAGATGAGGTCTCGCCAAGTTGCCCAGGCGGGTCTTGAACCCGCGGGCTCAGGCAATCCACTCACCTCAGCCTCCCAAAGTGCTGGATGCAGGCTGAGCCACCAAGCCCGGCTATTTTTCTTTCTTTTCAAATGGTCTTCTCTTTGTGGATGGCAGTGCCAAAAAAACCATAACTACTGGTGGAGTCGTTTTTAAAAATGGATAAATGGCTGTAGTTTCAGCCAGGTGTGGTGACTCACACCTATAAGCCCAGCAATTTGGGAGGTTGAGGCGAGAGGATTGCCTGAGCCCACGGGTTCGAGACCAGCCTGGGCAACTTGGCGAGACCTCGTCTCTACAATAAGTCATAAAAATTTGCCAGGCATGGTGGCACACACTTGTAGTTCCAGCTACTTGGAAGGCTGAGGCAGAAGGATCACCTGAGTGTAACAGGTCAAGGCTGTAGTGGCCGTGAGCATGCCACTGCACTCCAGCTTGGGCAACAGAGTGAGACTCTGACTTAAAAAAAAAAAAAAGACTGTAGTTTTTATAACTAGATTTAATTTGAAAGCTTAAATTCTACAATATTTTGTTGTGGTTTTGTTTGTTTGTTTTAGTTTCCTCAACCCTGTGTTAGCATTTCTTTTTTTTTCTTTTCTTTTTTTTGAGTTGGAGTCTCACTCTGTCGCCCAGACTGGAGTGCAGTGGCCGTTCCCGGCCACCGCAGCCTCGACCCGCTGGACTCCGGCGATCCTTCCGCCTCAGCCTTCCAAGTAGCTGGAACTACAGGCGCGTGCTACCACGCCCAGCTAATTTTTGATTTGTTGTAGAGATGAGGTCTCGCCAAGTTGCCCAGGCGGGTCTCGAACCTGCGGGCTCAGGCAATCCACTCACCTCGGCCTCCCAAAGTGCTAGGATTACAGGCTGAGCCACCGAGCCCGGTCGCATTTCCTTTTTTTTTTAATTGAAAGATCTCTCCTGCAACTTTTTAATGTCTATGTAATAAGAATCATTAAGGCCGGGCTCAGTGGCTCAGCCTGTAATCCTGCGCTTTAGGAAGCTGAGGTGAGGGGACTGCCTGAGCCCACAGGTTCGAGACCCACCTGGACAACTTGGCGAGACCTCATCTCTACAACAAATAAAAAAAAAATCAGCCGGGCATGGTAGCACTGCCTATAATTCCGGCTACTCAGAAGGCTGAGGTGGAAGGATCGCTGGAGCCCAGCAGGTCGAGGCTGCAATGGCTGGGAGTGGCCACTGCACTCCAGTCTGGGCAACAGAGTGAGACTCTAACTCAAAAAAAAAAAAAAAAAAGAAGAATCATTGACATCACTCTGTTCACGTGCATGTCTTATATGATGCTCATATGAAGTAGTGCTATATGATGCTCATATGAAGTAGTGCTTCAAGCTCTTCCTATGGAGATTACAAAAAGAAAGCAAGCCTAGGATTGTGTACCCACCTCCTGCTCCTTAGACCCCACACACACACCTTGGCATCCAGGCCTATAGCCTGGACCAGATTCTAAGCATCCCCTTCTCACCTTCTGTCTTATCCCCAAAGCTCGTCCCACTCTGAAGGAGACAGAAAGGAGGACAGACAGAATGTAGCAGCTGGACAGAGATAAGAAGAGGGAGTAGAACTTAGCAGCTGGTAGAAGGGCTTTTGTCTGCCCCCCTGTTGTGAGTGTTATCGCTCTCCTGACCCAGGCAGGACTGAGTAAAGTTTTATATGTGCAGATCACAGATTGTCCTAGGTTATAATGTGATCATCCTTATTTTTAGCACCCTTTACTTATCTGCTGGCACTTTGTTAGGTCTCTAAATATGTAAACTCATAAAATTATCATGTTTAACATATTTTAGAAATGCAAATGCCATAACGAAGAAAAGAAAAGATAAGATCCACTGCTGGAAATATAAGCATTTGTAGGCAGACATGAGCAGAGACAGTGAGCACAGAGGTTAAGGACACAGACTTTGGAGCCAGACTGCCTGGGTTTATATCCCAATTCTGACAGTTTGCTGGATGAGTAACCAGGAACAAGTTACTTAACCGCTCTGTCGTAGTTTTCTCATCTGCAAAATAGAGATGATAACACTCCCTTAGTATTGTAAATGTTAAACAAGTTAATGTATGACTATGAATGCTTAGAACTGTGTCGAATGCATAGTTAGCTCTGTGTATTTGTTCTTGTTGATATTACACCATGTTACCTTTCTAATGTTTCCATGTGTGGATGACTCAGTCTGATTTGTAGTCAGCCAGTTTCATTTATACTAGCCCCACCACCTTCAATGTATAACTACTAGGCGGCAGCTTCCCCTCCTCAGTAGTGTTTAAAAACAAAATGCCGGCCGGGCTCGGTGGCTCAGCCTGTAATCCCAGCACTTTGAGAGGCCGAGGTGAGTGGAATGCCTGAACCCGCGGGTTCAAGACCTGCCTGGACAACTTGGCGAGACCTCATCTCTACAATAAATCAAAAAATCAGCCGGGCGTGGTGGCGCGTGCCTGTAGTTCCAGCTACTTGGAAGGCTGAGGCAGAAGGATCACCGGAGCCCAGCAGGTCAACACTGGGATGGCCATGAGCATGCCACTATACTCCGGCCTGGGCAACAGAGTGAAACTCCAACTCAAAAAATAATAAAATGCTGATTTTTTTTTTCTCTTTCCCAGGCCCAACACAGGGATACTTTCATTGAAGAACGCTATGGAAAATATAACATCAGTGATCCATTAATGGCTCTACAGAGAGATTTTGAAACACTGAAGGAGAAAAATGACAGCGAGAAGCAGCCGGTCTGCACAAACCCACTGTCCATCCTGAAGGTGGTAATGAAGCAGTGTAAGAGCATGCAGGAGCGCATGCTGTCCCAGCTGGCTGCCGCCGAGAGCAGGCACCGCAAGGTGGGCCCCCAGCCGCGGGCTGCCACGTGAGCCTGCGGCAGGCTTGACAGACTGCAGGTTCGCAGCAGTTCACATGGCCCATCTCGCACATGTCAAAAGGCTCCCTCGCTTACGTAGGAGCCAGGTGATAGAAAACACAGATTATTTCAGATGTTAAATTTAAGGAATGTGCCAGACACGTTATTGAAGATGGCATTCCTTCCTGGTATGTCACTCCAAACACCTGGTATGTTTTTTCAGCTCTTGGTCATCCAAACTTTGGCAACAAACGGGGGTTTGGCCAAGCTTGTAGCTGAACAGAGTGTTCTCTATTTGCTTACTTAAGTGATAAATAGATTAACAGGTATTTGGGGAATGCTTATTGGAGAGAGAGAGAGAGAGGTTACTTGACTATAAACACACAAGCAATAGATTATTTTCATTTATTCCTAGTATTGAGTTTCATCGCATTTTAGTGCATGAAACCATAAACAGTTCCTAGAGTTGTTTACCTTAACGCTCACGGTTCAGCCCTGTTAGGAATGTGCACGTGCGGTTTGTTTCCATGTCTGACAGCTTCCAAGTTAGGAGGGCGAACCTTGGCTTTCCTCTACCTCATCTTACTGGAATTCTAGTGTTGTGAATTTATTCCCCAACTTGTCATTTACTGATCAATCTGGCCTATAACAGATGCTTGGCTAGAATCTACATTTTAAAAAAACTATCGGCTGGGTTCAGTGGCTCAGCCTGTAATCCCAGCACTTTGGGAGACCGAGTGGATTGCCTAAACCCGCAGGTTTGAGACCAGCATGGGCAACTTGGCGATACCTCGTCTCCACAATAAATAAAAAAATTAGCCAGGTGTGGTAGCACGCGCCTGTAGTTCTGGCTACTTGGAAGGCTGAGGCGGAAGGACCGCCGGAGCCCAGCAGGTTGACGCTTGGGGTGGCTGTGAGCATGCCACTGCACTGCACCCTGGGCGACAGAGTGAGACTCCAACTCAAAAAATATATATATCAGTTTAGATTTATACCAACAAGGGAGTATCCATGCATTTGGCAGGAAACATTTTGATCTGAACAATCGGATTGGCAGTTGCAGAATCTGTACTTCCTCTTAGGGTCCTGGCATTAACGTCATCTGCTTCGATTGCTGCTGATCCGTTGCAGGCTCTGGGTTTTTCCTATGATCTTTTCTTTCCCTTCACAGAGTCCAAATGAAAGGCCAGATGTCCCACAGTCCCTCAGAAAACACACAGATTGTCAAAAATTTATGTATTTTTGTAGGAAGTGCATTTTTTCTATAGCTTTAATCAAATTCTCAAAGTTGACCAAGACTCAGAAAAGTTTAAGCTCTGCTCTACAGTGAAGTAATCTGAAAACATTTATGCTCCAGTTTAGAAGGTTTCAGTGGGTTGGAGTTAGTTGCCTAAATTTGGGGAACTTTTACATAATCTTCTCAGAAAATCTTCACAACATTCCTGTTTTCTAGGCAGGCCTTAAACTTCATATGTGAGGGAAGAGAGTTGTGTTGAAAGGAGTTGGCTAGCTTTCGTGCCCATGGAAGGTGTAGTGTTGGGACCATGTGTGGGCTCTAGGTGATTGGAGAGAAGTTCACAATAAGTTAACGTTCTTTTAATTTTTTTTTTGAGTTGGAGTCTCACTCTCGCCCAGATTGGAGTGCAGTGCCGCTCCCGGCCACCGCAGCCTCGACCTGCTGGGCTCCGGCGATCCTTCCGCCTCAGCCTTTCGAGTAGCTGGAACTACAGGCACGTGCTACCACGCCCGGCTAATTTTTTTGATTTATTGTAGAGATGAGGTGTCGCCAAGTTGCCCGGGCAGGTCTCGAACCCGCGGGCTCAGGCAATCCACTCACCTTGGCCTCCCAAAGCGCTGGGATTACAGGCTGAGCCACCGAGCCCGAACAAGTTAACATTTCTTAATAATATATTGCAATGTTAAATGTTCTAAGTAAGTATTAGATTTTTGAAGCCAAGTACCTATCTAATAAGTGGTTTATCAAAGCAGAACACCGATGTTGTCACAAAGCAAACAGCACCTAGAAGCTTATAATTAAGGGCTCAGAGGGTCTGCGTATCTATCCCCTTGGCGTAGTTATTAACAATACTCTCTTTGACTCTCAGAAATGTTCTGGTTCGAACTGCAAATTACATGGTTACTCTGCTTATAATGAAAAATAGAGTTCCCTAGACCACATCTTCCCATTCCACACCCTCCCCAATATTCAGAAGCACCCACTTATCTCTTTTAGCCATTTATTTTGGTAACTGACGTCCATATTTCTAAATGATACACTGCTCTCTCTTGTTTTATCAGTTTTAGACACTTATATTCCTTTCTTTTCTGATAGATGCAGATTTCATGATCTTATACCTCACCCCTCTTTCCTCTCCTCTCCTTACCCCTCACTCTCTTCCTGAAGCAAGTTCAATCCTCTTCTTATGCCATTCTCTCCGTCCTCTCTGGTATTCCTAAATCCTGAGCTTGGCACATTCTGTTTCCCCAGAAGATAAGATGGTGGAAAGCAACTGGCCGATACAGTTTTCCTTTCTTGTCCTGTCCTGTCCTGTCCTTGCTGGAGGGCAGTGGCTATTCATAGGCTCAGTCATAGCACCCTATAGCCTCAAGCTCCTGGGCTCAAGTGATTCTCCCACCTCAGTCTCCCGAGTAGCTGGGACTACAGGTGTGCACCACCATGCCCAGCTCATTTTTATTTTTAAAGGGGATTTCATGTCCCAGAAAATTCTCTCTTTCCATTTGTAAAAACTATTTACATGCAGGAGAGCCTTTTCACCTCTTTTCTGACTATTTAAAAATGCGTATCATTCTTCCAGGCACAGTCAGGCTATCACCTATGTCAAATGCTGGATTTCAGGCGCCCTCCTTGGTGCTCCAGTGGCCTGAGTATGAGAGGAACCTCAGCTTTTGCTTTCTGTGGTCCTGTCTTGCTCCACCACTGGCACCTGGGCCCGGTCATGCCAAACCGGCTGCAGTTTCCTGAGCTTTCTGCTACCTCTCGGGAACCTCTTCAGCCCACAGCTGACGAGCCACACTCTTCTCCCTGTTTACGTTCCATTCTGTACACACTTCAAGAATGCAAACGTCTGTTTGTTTCTAGTGCACAGCTTTCCCATCTTTCACTCTGCTAGACAGTGTGCTCCTTGATGGCCCTGGCTGGGTTTCATTTATTTGTTTGGTTGCTTGTTTATTTACTTACTTACTCTCTGGAGCTACCTTAGGTGCTTAGTTAAGCCCTTAGCATCAGTTGTATTGTAAGTGCGATTCTTTGATATTTGGAAATGAATTTTTAAAAATTCTTTAAAGGTGATCCTAGACCTTGAGGAAGAAAGGCAGAGGCATGCCCAGGACACAGCTGAAGGCGACGATGTCACCTACATGCTGGAGAAGGAGAGAGAGAGGCTGACTCAGCAGGTAACGAAGGGGGAGGGAGTCCCAGCTGTGTTCGCCTGGAAGAGCATTTCTCAAAGAAGATTCTGCAGGGTGCTCACTGGCGTTGCTCATGAACAGGGCTCTGTGGCTCTGTGGTCAGCTGAGTCTGGGAGCTACTGGATTAGGCAGAGTTAAATGGGTGTCTAACTTTACACTGGTTAGAGTCTTTTTTATTTTGTTTAAAGATAGAGATCTTGCTATGTTGCCCATGCTGGTCTCAAACCCCTGGGTTCAAGCAGTCTTCCTATCTCAGCTTCCCAAGTGGCTGAGATTACTGGCAGGAGCCACTGCATCCAGATTACCTGTTTTTAGTATGCAGAAGTACATTACGAGTCTTCAAGAACAAGAAAGGGTTATCTGTGTTTAGCAGATCTGTGTTTTCATAAAACCTTTTTCTGACATAGATCACTCACTGTGGGACTGTTACTCCACAGAAGACACTTTGGGGGATGCTAACTTAGAGCTGTAGCCTCACTTTTTTGACTTGGCCCTCAGTAAAAAATACATTTTGTAATACATCACAACCCAGTATGTGTAGACACATAACACATGCCTGAAACAGAAGCCTTATAACATGTAACCCCAGCTGCCTACAGTACATACTGATGGTTTCCTCTTCTATTCCATTTTTTAAAAATTCTGGTCATGGCTCACTAGATTGTTTTCCCCCTCCGTTAATGGGTCTCAGAGTTTGAAAAACATGGAGTAACAGAGTTCCTTCAACCCTTTTCCTCTCAAGTCTCTTTGCCTTAAAGAAGGTTGGGAGAGGCTGGGCTTGGTGGCTCAGCCTGTGATCCCAGCACTTTGAGAGGCCGAGACGAGTGGATTGCCTGAGCCCATGGGTTCAAGACCAGCCCGGGCAACTTTGCGAGACCACGTCTCTATAATAAAAATTAAAAATGAACCAGGCACGGTGGCGTGCGCCTATAATTCTGGCTACTTGGAAGGCTGGGGCAGAAGGATTGCTGGAGCCCAGCAGGTCAACGCTGGAGTGGCTGTGAGTGTGCCACTGCACTCCAGCCTGGGCGACAGAGTGAGACTCCCAACTCAAAAAAAAAGAAGGTTGGGAGGACAACTAAGCTACATTTGTGTAAAAAGTATGATTGAACCACAACCTTTGTTCATACTTAAGGTTAGATCAAATTATTGCTGAACCTTTAAAGGCTTGTTTTCGGCAGCATCCATTATACCATCTGGTTCACGTGGCTTTCTGTGGTCTGTTGTGCTTGGTTCTGAGGCTGTGTACTCTCCACATACCCAGAGCACCGTGATATGTCATATTCCCACTAATAGCCCTGAGATGGTTAAAGCACTGGAAGCGCTTCCCGAATCACCAGAGGAGGATGAAATCCCAGCCTGTGCAGGTTTTGTGCCAGTGCTCTAGCTCTTCAGAAACTCCCTCTCTCCGCGCCGCAGCCCGCGTGTCCGTCCTCCGTCCCCAAGAGCTCTCCTTGCTTGGGGTTTCTCAGTGTGTCCCTTGGTTGCCTCACTCTAAGCAAGGTATGTGGTGGCGTTTTTCCCTAGCTGGAATTTGAGAAGTCCCAGGTGAAGAAGTTTGAAAGGGAGCAGAAGAAGCTCTCCAGCCAGCTGGAGGAGGAGCGCTCCCGCCACAAGCAGCTGTCGTCCATGCTGGTGCTGGAGTGCAAGAAGGCCACCAGCAAGGCTGCCGAGGAGGGCCAGAAGGCCGGGGAGCTGAGCCTGAGGCTGGAGAAGGAGAAGAGCCGCGCCAGCAGGCTGGAGGAGGAGCTGGCGGCCGAGCGGAAGCGCGGCCTGCAGACCGAGGCCCAGGTGGAGAAGCAGCTGTCCGAGTTCGACATCGAAAGGGAACAGCTGAGAGCCAAGCTGAACCGCGAGGAAAACCGGACCAGGACGCTGAAGGAAGAGATGGAAAGCCTGAAGAAGATCGTGAGGGAGCTCGAGGCTTCCCATCAGCACAGCAGCCCCCACGCGCGGCTGCAGAAACCAGCCACCGTGGCCAGGGGCACAGCCACGGAGCCGCTCACGCGTGCGTCTGTCTTTTGCCAGACGGAGAGCTTTCAGGCAGAAAGAGCCCATGGGGGCAGCGAGGCCAAGGTGACCGACACTGGGCTGCCGGGCCCCCCCACTCCTGCTACCGCTTATGCAAAAGCCAACGGCCATTGTGACCCGGGGATACAAGCCACCAGGGAGCTGACTGCAGGCAGCGGTGCGGAAAACCAAGGGCCTCCGCGAGACAAGCCCGTGGAGAATGGCGGGTGCACCGTCGGGACCGAGACTCCAGCCCCGGCGCCCAGCCACCTCCCTTCCGGCGGGAGCTCCCCGTCTCCCAGCAGCACCGCCTCCTCCTCCCTGACTTCCTCTCCCTGCTCCTCACCAGTGCTCGCCAAGCGCCTACTGGGGTCCTCAGCCGGCAGCCCTGGCTACCAGTCGTCCTACCAAGTGGGGATCAACCAGCGGTTCCACGCAGCTCGGCACAAGTTCCAGTCCCAAGCAGATCAGGACCAGCAAACCAGTGGTCTCCAGAGCCCTCCGTCCAGGGATCTGTCCCCCACCCTCATGGACAACTCTGCTGCCAAGCAGCTGGCCCGAAACACAGTCACTCAGGTGCTCTCCAGATTCACGAGCCAGCAGGGGCCGATAAAGCCCGTGTCTCCCAACAGCTCTCCCTTCGGCACAGACTACCGCAGTCTGGCTGGCACTGCCAGTCCCAGAGGTGACTCCAGCCATTCACCGACCCCGGGGAAAGTGTCCAGCCCGCTGAGCCCCCTGTCTCCAGGAATCAAGTCCCCCACCATCCCCAGAGCCGAGAGGGGAAACCCCCCGCCAATCCCCCCCAAGAAGCCCGGCCTCACCCCATCTCCATCTGCTACCACCCCTATGACCAAAACTCCTTCCCAGACACCCTCTCTGGCCACCAGCGAAGACATTGCCAGCAGCTGCTCTTCCAGTGCCGTCGTGCCCAACGGCAAGGATGTCGAGGTACTGTTGCCCACCAGCAGCTAGTCCCCACAAGCAGGCTACACGTGTGACATTCCATCAGATTCCGTCCAGGAGCTCAGAGACCGTTGAGTCAGATCGTGTTATTTATTTTGACAGTAGCTGAAACCATCTGTATAATGCATTTAGTGCGTTTCACCTTTTTGTATTTTTTTAAGCAAAAACTGAGTAGTTGGATTGTTACGGCTCACATCTTTGTCCTGAAGCGAGAAGGGCACCTCCAGGACATCTCCCACTCAGCAATCGCTGTCATGTTGTGATGGAGTGCCAGGTGGTGACTTGCTGTCTATTTGGGGACTAGAATCACTCAACACTCGTTTTGAATTATGCAGAAGTGGTTCTTGCAGGTTTTTATTCCAGATAAACATGTTTTAAAAGTGCCTGAAATATGACTGCAATATGAATGTGATTCTGCAGCAGAAACACAAAACGGACCATTTAATTGCAGAAAATGAGATCCTCTGAATACTGAATGTTAAAAACCAACACTGCTTTTAATCCTCTTTTACTGTTTTTAATACAAGCTTTGTGTTCTGAAACAAGGCTGTGTAAGCAGAATGGGAATTCTTCTACAGGTGGGTGTGAACTCACCACAGAGCTGAGCTTTGTAGAGCCCTTGAGAAGCCCTGAGCACTAAAGCACTGGGGTGCTGATTTGCTGGTACTTTTGAAAACTTAACCCACTCCTTAGTTTCCTGTGTAAATTCCTGAATAGAATGAAATCACATCTCCATTCAAGTTATGTCTCCAAGCATCCACTGTTGTGTAAGGAAGTTCTGATTCTGATCACTATTACTTGAATAGGAAATGGTTGCTCATTCTGTATAAAAGTTTTGCAACAGAATGAAATCTTTATTCTGTAATCAAAAAGCAATAACTTAAAATTCACTCTCTTTGTAACAATGTAAATCAGAATTATACAAGTTTCACCAAATTGTTACATTTATTCTCCAAGCTGCCAGCATTTGGGGTCTGTATCTGTGAAACCAAATTAACTTTTGCCAAAATGGAAGTATACATATATCTGTATAGACATTACCCCCTCACGTGTTTAACATAGACACACCTAAACACATAAGTGTGCGTGTAATTAGATCTTTGAAGTTTGCAATATGGCATAAAGGACAAGTAGAATTGCACATTAAGATTACCTACCAAAGCTATCTAGCTGGGACCCAGTCAAAGGGGCAATCTTGTCCAGAGGGAGGTGGAGAGATTCCAGATGAAGCCCAGGTCTTCAGCATCATAAAAAAGCAAAGCTAAATTAACCCCATGTCATAAAACTCAACTGGTCACATGAATGGGTGCAACTGGCCAGGTGCGGTGTCTCACACCTGCAATCCCAGCACTGGGGGAGGCTGAGGCAGGAGGCTCACTTGAGGCCAGGCGTTCCAGACCAGCCTCTTGCCGCCATGCAAGAATGCTAGACCAGAGTTACCAGTTCTTCAAACTTTTATGAACTCCAAGCTTTCATGAGAAACAGTCTCATTTTTAAATATCAAGGACTGATTTTAAAAACTTTAAACACCACTGGTTAAACAAACACTTCTGCAGCTGGAGTTAGCTTACAAGCTGCCAGGTTGCAACTTCTTTCATCTAGAAACTTCCATCATTTCTATCATAGTGAGTTTGTGTGGACAGAAACCTCCAGACTCTCCAACTGTGTAGACTAGTACTGCTGATAAAGTCCATAGAATATGAAGACTGTCCCTGTCATCCAAACAAGACTGTACAACTTTGACACTTGACACAGCGGTTATATAATTTGGTGTCCACAGGGCAGGAGAGGCCTTAATGTCGTCACATAAGTTCTTCGAGCCAACATCTTGCAGCAGCCCCTGACCTGCTGCCGTAATTTAGGTCTATTTCCTTTAATCCAGTATGAGCTGGGGGGTAGCAGGTGATAGAAATCGACATGTGAATCACAACGGAGTCTCTTAGTGACTCATGGTCTGGTAAGACAAATGCATCAAAAATTAAATGCTACTGACTACCAAAATGATGTAGGGGGTGTCTTAAAGAACTGTCCAAAGCAATCATGCATTGAGCTTTGTTTCCCATGAATTGCCAAAATGAACAGTGTTGAAAAAGTAGCTGAACTTCCTAAACAGGAGAGGGGGCCACAGTGCCAGAGTCTTATTATCTCTCATGCTTTAAATGGTAATCTTAAAACTGCATTGTGCTCTTCCTTTGTTTGGGGATAGATATATAGAGAGAGAGAGAGAAACTATAAGGAAGTTTATTTCTTAGGAAGTGCACTGAATAACGTATTTCTTTTACAGTGTAACACGGGGTGGGGATATACAAAGGAAATGTGTATTTTTGCTAGTTGCCTATCTTCTGAGATAAATAAGCACAACCCTGCAATGGATCCAATAATCCACTTAGATGTTATAGAGTAGTATTTAAGTTTGCCGTAGATTGTGTGTGTGTGTGCTAAGTAAAAGTTCCATGACTCACAATTTCGGTATTAACCCATGTTGCAAAAGCTCGTACTGGTCAGTGGATTGTAATGATGTGCAACATAGAACACCAGCGTTAACTAGTCATTACCATTTGTAAAGCCAAATACACAATGCAGAACTCTTCATTCATTTTTATAGCAGATTTCATTAAAACAAGTTAAGTCATACCATCTGGGGGACAAACCCGTCTTGTCTGTACAAAGTGAACGTGTTGCACAGTTTGGCCTCATTCTGTTGGGGAAGGAGTGGGTGACCCAGAGGGAGCGCTTGATCGTGGCTCTGAAAAACCAAATGAAGTCAATGACCCAGTCAGCTTAGACCCCCATAAGGAACTAGGACATTGGTTTTCTTTAGACTCTTCGAGCTGGAAAAAGCCTTTGCAATAGCACAGTCTGTAATTTTGAAACCATGTGGGGGTTCTGGACCTTTTGAGAATCGTAGGCGCTCTAAAATCTTAGAATCTAAGGACTCTGTTCCCAGAAAAATGGACATGGTTATATGCAGAATGTGGTTGATGTCTTCACAGGATCCGGAGACCCCCGCAGCCATCCATGACTCATGCCTTCTGCCCTGAGAAAGCCTAACCTTGTCCTGCACTCATTTTACAAATGACTAATGCATCTCTTGTCTCCTAGGCCAGGGCTGTTGCTCCTGTGCATTAGCAATGCAAGCTGTAGCCAGACAAAAGCACTTGAAAATCCTTTGATGTGCAAAAGATGTTCAAACAGTGTGGATGTTTGCATATCTTAATTCCCAGCATTTAAGCCAATTAATGGTCATTTCCACAAACACTATCTGTATCGTTTTCCCATAACTACCTCACTGTCAGCAGTGCTGCCTTGTCAGTGTGTGTGTGTGTGTGTGTGTGTGTGTGTGTGTGTGTGTGTGTGTTCATAAAGAGCTCTTCTGATGCATAATCCTTGAAACAGAACTTCAGATGTCTTTTGAAATGCTGGCTTGACATTAGAATGTGTTTTCCTGACACTGAGTCGGAGGTGGGCAAGGAGCATTGTTCCCCTGGAGTAATTCTTTAGCTGCTATAAAACTGAGAAACTTGACAGCCTGTCTACCCACTGTTTGCATATCCGTGACCAACTCATGAGTGAAAAAGAAAGACTGGGTCGTGGTTCCGACTCGACTGTGCATCTGCATGACCTGAGAAACCTGCTGATGCCCGGGGTTGTGGGCTTGGATCCAGGGCCTGGGTGGGCAGGGAGTCTGAGGACTGAGGACCCGTTTAGGAGAACAGCGCTTCGTGGCCCTCACCCCGTCTTTCACAACAACACGCTCTTTGCCTCTGGCCTAAGGAAATGTCGTAAACCCCTGGAACTAGCTTGCAGGAGTGTCAGTGATGCCCAGAGTGCCTGCTTGATCTAAGCACCATGCTCACAGTCTCACGTGCGTGTTGCAGACGCATCCCCATGAGAGTGCGTGAGGCATTACCATCCCCAGCATCAGCTGAGGGCCAGGGATTTGTACCAGGGTCCTTCATCAGTGACAGCCGGGATGTCAGCCCTAGTGCTTTGCTCTTTCACCACAGTGTTTCCCAAAAGAGAGTCTCCTGGGCACTTGTTAACACAGAATCCCAGGTCCTCCCCGTCGACTGTGATCCCATGGAGCTGGGCAGTTCCCTGTGATTGTTAAGATCCAGCCAGCCTAAAAACCTGGCTGACACCACAGCCTCCGCCCAGCCCAGGGGTGACTTCTCAGACTAGCCGTTGCCAGGAGGCCTTTATCAGGTCAGGTAAACAGAACAGAACAAGACGTCTTTCATATTCCCCTCCAACATGTTTCTGAAGTTCTAAGGGGAACCAGAAACCAGCATGACAGGAAGGAAGACGGGTTGAAACGTGTTCCCTGCCCCTATGGTGTTCACAGTCATGACAAGATGATTCCGGAGACAACAGCTAGGAGGAACGAAGCCAGTCAGTGTAAAAACCCTAAGGGCTATCGAAGGTGGCCCTGGTAAGGCCCGTGGTGGCTCATAGAAGAAAGCGCTCTTTGTGGGCAGGAGGTTGGCCAGATAGCAGGTAAGCGTCTCCCCCCTGCAACGCAGTGTCTACCTGGAGTCTTGCAGCATCTCGCTGTGTTGGCCTTCCATGTTAGTTGACTTGTCTTGACTCTAGGATGAGGTCACAGAAGCATAAAAAATCCCCAAGAGCCGAGTCCTGTTTCCCAGAGACACAGACACCAGTGTGTGGTTTCTGCCAGAGTCTGGAGGGTCTAAGAACAGCTCTGCAGAACCCTCTCCAGCAGCTTGCAGGGAGGACCAGGGAACACATAGAAAGCAGGCCGAAGCTGGGCTCGGTGGCTCAGCCTGTAATCCCGCGCCTTTGGGAGGCTGAGGTGAGTGGATTGCCTGAGCCCACGGGTTCAAGACCCGCCTGGGCAGCGAGACCTCATCTCTACAATAAATCAAATCAGCCAGGCTTGGTAGCGTGCACCTGTAATTCCAGCTACTCGGAAGGCTGAGGCAGAAGGATCGCCGGAGCCCAGCAGGTCGAGGCTGCGGTGGCCGGGAGCGGCCACTGCACTCCAGTCTGGGCGACAGTGAGACTCCAACTCAAAAAAAAAAAAAAAAAAAAAAAGCAGTCCGAGAAAGGACCTGGTCGCCAGAATATCCTGCTACCCAGAAGTGTCCTGTCCTGCCCACTTCACACCCTCTAAGTCTCTAAGCAAATGGGAGAAATGCAAAGCAAGCACTGAGAAGTGTCCTTTGAGTCCCCAGGGACACTTGGGAGGGAATGACTCCTTGGAGAGATGGGAAAGCAGCTGCCAGGTCTCCTAGTTGTGGTGTGCTTGTGCTGCTGTTAGACTGGAGGGTCGGCTCTGAGAAATTACCAGGAAGTGTTGGAACAAGATGGTTCTAATTTAATTTATCCCTGGGAGCCATCTACTTCACCCGACAAGAGTTCCTACCCAACACCAGGGGCAGTGGCTCACGCCTATAATCCCAGCATCTGGGAGGCCAGCGCGAGAGGACTGCCTGAGCCCAGAGGTTCGAAACCAGCTTGGGCAACTTGGCAAGACCTCGTCTCTGTAATAAAAAATGAGCCGCGCATGGTGGCACATGCCTGTGGTTCCAACTACTTAGAAGCCTGAGGGGGACGGATCACTTGAGCCCAGTGGGTGTGGTGGCCTTGAGCGTGCCCCTGCACGCCAGCCTGGACAAGAGTGAGACTCCGACTCAAAAAAAAGACTCCTGCCAGGCTCGGTGGCTCAGCCTGTAATCCCATGCCTTTGGGAGACAGGTGAATGGATTGCCTGAGCCCGCGGGTCCGAGACCCGCTTGGGCAGCTTGGCGAGACCTCATCTCTACAATAAATCAAAAAATCAGCAGGGCGTGGCAGCGCATGCCTGTAGTTCGGCTACTCGGAAGGCTGAGGCGGAAGGATCGCCGGAGCCCAGCAGGCCGAGGCTGCGGTGGCCGGGAGCGGCCACTGCACTCCAGTCTGGGCGACGGAGTGAGACTCCAACTCACTGACTCACGGTGTTAGCTGCTGGCGCGCACCTGGAAGTCCCTCTTCAGGAATGATGTTGATTTCCCCAGGTGCAAGGAATGCTGATAGCAAATGGCCCTCAGCTCTACTCCCGATCGGAAATGCCTTACGGAAAGAAAATGAACTTGAAGAGGATACGTCTTCTTCCATGATGACTCGTGCCCAAAGGCTGACGGATGTGGAGTTTCCACTGGCCCCCTTGTCCCAAATTAGGAAAATTAGAAGTACATCCCAGCTTCAAAATCCACTACAAAGTTGGTTGAGACCGTTATTGAGACTGTATTAAATAAAGCCAGGCATGATGGCTCAGGTCTGTAGTCCCAGCTATTCCAGAGGCTGAGGCAAGAAGATCGCTTGAGGTCAGAAGTTTGAGCTCATCGTGGACAACATAGCATCTCTCTCTCTCCCCCCCTCCTCACCCCCCACTTCTCTCTCATTTGTTTGCTTGTTTTGAGACAGTTTTACCCAGGCTGGAGTGCAGTGGCATGGTCACGGCTCACCGCAGCCTTGACCTGGGTTCAGGCAATCTTCCCTCCCCAGTAGCTGGGACTACAGTCACGCACCACCCACCCAGCTAATTGTTTGATATATATATATATTTTTTTGTAGTGATGGGGTCTTGCTATGTTGTGGGCTCAAGCAGTCCTCCCGCCTTGGCCTCCCAGAATGCTGGGATTACAGGTATGAGCCACCGTGTCTGGCATAAGACCTCCATCTCTTAAAAAAAGATGTTTAAAGCAAAGAGACTGTTGAGCTCAGCTTCTTCCTCTGCCCAAGCCTGCTCCCCCCTCCCTTCCCTGCCCTGGGTGTGGGCACGCCCAAGCAAGCCTGGACTCCATCTCTCAGTGTCTCTGACCTTTTTGGTCGTGGTTAAGTCTTCTAAAGAAGGGAGGACACTTTCTGACTACTTCTAGAGTGCCAGGCTGTCAGCCAGGTATTTTACACATTTTATTTAATCAGCACAACTACTAAGAGAGGTAGATTATCCCTACTGGACAGATAAGGTGATTAAGTCTTAGTGAGACACTGTCCATTGCCGAGGCCCCGGGCACAAGCGGATTCAGTGTCACAGCTGGGATTCAAAGCCTCATCCATTTGGCTTTCAAGCTGGCCACACTATAGTCTCAAAACTGATCACGCATGTGGGGAGTTTAGAATATTAGCCCGTTGTCAGTCAAATACCTAAATCCACTGGTCAACTAGCTGGCTTTTTATTTTTTATTTTTATTTACTTATTCATTCTTAAGACAGCGTCTCACTCTGTTCCCCAGGCTGGGGTGCAGTGGCACTGATCACGGCTCACCACAACCTTGACCTCCTGGGCTCAGAGGATCCTCCCATCTCAGCGTCCCAAGCAGCCAGGAGTAGCAGGGACTACAGACATGCACCAGCACGCCTGGCTCACTTGTTTGAGCTTTTGTACAGATGAGGTCTTGCTATGTTACCCAGGCTGGACTCGAACACCTGGGCTCAAGCAGTCCTCCCGCCTCGGCCTCCAAAGTGTTGGGATGACAGGCGTGAGACACCGCGCGGCTAGTTTCTTTTGAGACCCTCGGCTAGGAACAGGACACGGAGCTGGCTTTGAGTGCAGAGGAAGGAGAAGGCTGGTTTGCCTACACACACAGAGGCATCAGTGTTAGAGGGAGTCCTGGAGACCCTTGATTCTAACT